AAGGCGTTATTTTTAGTGGTAAAAGTACAAACGTGTCTTCTGGGCATTGCACTTAATTAGATTTAGTCGTCCCAGTCCGAGACCTTATCCGATTAAGACTCGACTTCAGACACAAGTTTCTTCCGGTACTGGGCGACGTTTTCCCGAGAAAATTAAGGCACAACCGATATATAAGGCATCATCAGTGCACGTTACTGGCTCGCAACATATTATTGATAAGCAGAAGAAACAGCGTAAGTAATTAAATTAAATTAAATTAAATTAAAATCGTTTATTTCGACCACAAGGATCATAGATGTTAGTAATAATACAAATCTTAAAGGTAATGTTAGTAAACTTAAAACTATTTACGTAATTCTAAAACTATATCTAAGACATGTCCGATTAGTCAGCACGTGCACCATATGACAATGGTTCAGGTACTGACAATCAAACCTGTCAGAAAATGCTCTCAGGATGCCATTCGAACTGTCCCGCACCCTGCGCACCAGGGATGTGCATCGTTTACGCATGGTGGTGTAGAAACAATCCACACGCGCATCCGCGAACATACCCGACGCACTACAGTAACGAGGCAGACCCAATAGCATCCTGAATGCATTATTGTATTGAACACGCATAGTACGTAGCCTTGTGGAACACTAGCATAAATAGGCTTGTAAATGGAACATGCACTTTCTACTACGACTTTGTTGTTCCAATCTGCAAGAAAACTGCTGATCCGGTGGCACAAATTCTCGGGAAACCCATAGGAAGGGAGCTTCGAAAGAAGTGCTGTGTGCTAAACCAAACCCGATCGAAGACCTTCGCTATGTCCAAACTAACGGCCAAAGTCTCCCTCGCTGCCTCCACCGATTTATAAGTCAGGTAAGCCAGAAGATCACCAGGTGAGCAACCCCGACGGAAATCGTACTGGCGGTCACTTTTAAATTGGTGATCCTTAAACTCATGAGCTAGCAGTTCACAATGGTTTTCCTTATTTTAGAGAACAAGTTGGATAGGTCTGAGCGGTTGAATTTTCGGTTATTTTTAAGAGATCTGGTGCACTAATGCTGTCTTCTTTGAGTTTGGGACTACGCCTAGGGAGAAAGAGTTTTAGAAAAGACCCGTTACGACCGGTGCTAACTAGAGAGCACACGTCTTCAGCACAATGGGAACTCCATCAGGCCCACTCGACTTCACGTCTAGGGAGAGTAGTGTTATGCGCACCGGGCGCTGTATAAACCGTATTGTTGATGAAGCCCTCCTATTACAGCGCGATGCAATTTTACAGGAGCAACCAAACCAGGCACCACAGATGATAGAATAAAGAGTTCTATTCCTTGAATTACCACATCAGCGACAGAAACACGTTGGATCATCCGGCGAGAAGCATACCCGCCCCGGTTCTTAAGGGAAGGATGCAAAAAACGACCGCATCCTGTCCCAACCGGCCGACCTATAGTGCCATACACGGCGGCGATCTGCAGAACGCTATCGCGATGGTAGTGTAAGTAGCACCATAGTCCGGATCGGACAATGGTCCAATGCGCTAAGAGGGGCGTTGACGGAGATGCTCGATTGATCTGTCCGAATGAGAGGTCAGCAGAAGTTCAACAGGATGTAGTGGATCACATCTAGAATCCGCTTAGGCGAAGTAACCATTTGTGTCTGATTCTACATGCCAAGGCAAAGTCATAAACAGATCTTCCCGCATGATCGGTTAAACGAGAACCAAGCCATTCACGTGGTAGAGCCATGCTGCAGCTATATTAATAGTATAGTTGTAGCACGAATGGGTCGGCTCGACCGGGGAAGGACCACGCTCTCACAGAATACCAGCGTCAAATAGCAGCTTAATGCTGCTGTGTTTCGTATGGTGAGTGTAGAGAACCGGAGACCCTTTTTACTGGAAAAGAGGCAGTCTATCTTAGTCCTCACGGCTGACAACGCATCTGCATTTTAATTCGCAAACGAAGATAGATGTAGATGTCTATGGGCCACAGCAACCACTTACCATCAGGTGGACTATGTGCTCGTTTGTCACCCTTATTCTATAAAAAAAAATTCAGCGTGGTGGCCGTTAAAATCACTAAGGATCACTATCTCTGCAGGTGGGACCTGTTGTATGACGGAGTCTGCAGCGATTTGGTTTGGATTGATTTGTTCGATGAGTTGGTCTGTGTCGGCATAACTTGAGTCACCCGTAGACGCGAGAATGATCGTCGCTGACCTCATGACAGCCGAGGCGTCGAGAACAGATGTCTTGTCTGACGTATACGCAAACTCCAGCCCGAGGCACAAAGGTGTTCTAATTTGTACCCCGGATAGGAGAGAAGTATCGACCGGTGAGAACACCTGCATCTCGGTTAGAAAGGTCAAGGTCGGCTAATCGGCTTCACCATTTTCAAATGTTACCTAGTGGACTTCGTTACCGTTCGATTGAAATCCCCTGATGTTGAAAAATTTCACGGATAGCGTGGCAGGGGTCACCTTTGTCTTATTGTTCTACTTGCCAAGAGCAGTGTTAGTATAGAGTGAAATTTCTCCCCCCCCCTTCCCCCTTCTCAGGATACGCGATGCAGTTTGAGCACCCGCGCTAAGGAATAGTAGGGTAGATAGGACGTGGATGCTCAGCCAGGGATTCTCCAATACCAGAGGTGCTGGTACCCTCCTGGGATGGTTTCTTATTAATTACACTACCATGTTAAGGGGAAGAGGGATTAGACCTCTGACTACCTGCACTTACCAGGCGAAGTAAACTTCTACTTCACGCTGGTTATTTGTAAGGTCATGGTACCTCCTCGGTTCGAGCCGGTACACCCATTCATTACATTCATTTATTACAGCTCTTCATTTCATGTCTTACCATGTCGTCACTCCATCTAGTTTGGCCCACCCGAGCAAAAGCTTCCGTGTGGCTCTTTCACTGTTATATTGTCTGCCTATATTATTAACTGTAATCTACTTCGTCATTATTTATGCATTACACATAATACTTAGTGGTAAGTAGTAAGTAGTTAAAAAACTTAATTATGGAAAATTTAATTTTGCTATAAATATAAATCATAAAATATCTACTTTTTAAAATTAAACATTACGCCAATAATTTGCTACTTAAATGTTCCAGTAGAATCCAAAAATGCTCCACTTCTATTGCTATTAGTTAATTTATAATCAAATTTAAAAAAAAATATTATAGACAGTTTAATTTTGCTTTCAAACATAAAATATCTTTATTTTTTAAATGAAACTGTATGCCAATTAATTGCTCCTTAAATGCTCCAGTAGAATCCGAAATTGCTCCACCTCTATTGCTATTAGTTAATTTATAATTAGTTTAAAAAAAATAATTTTGCTTTTAAACATAAAATATCTTTTTTTTTTAATTAAACTGTATGCCGGTTAATTGCTCCTTAAATTCGCCAGTAGAATCCGAAATTGCTCTACCTCTATTATTATTAGTTAATTTAAAATTAATTTTTATAAATATTAATTATCGAAAATTTAATTTTGTTATAAAAATTAAAATATCTACTTTTTAAAATTTATCTGTATGGAAATTAATTGCTCCTTAAATGGTCCAGTAGAATTCAAAATTGCTCCAGCTCTATTTCTATTAGTTAATTTATAATTAATATTTAAAAAATTTAATTATCGAAAATTTAATTTTGAGTTGCAACAATTTGAAAATTCAACCTTGGACTTTACACCAGCACACGAAGGACAAAAGACTAACAATTTTATTTAAAACTCTTAACTGTCAGGTATTCAGTTATTATTAAGGTTGGTAAATTGTATTAACAATATGGTGTATTATTATTTTTCGTAAGTTATTACTATTATAGTATCAATGTTAGTTATCAATTTGCATTATATAACTTGGTTGTATGTAAGTCAGTTTAAGTTACATTTAAGTAAATTTCGTATTCAATATAATACAGTTAGCTTTAAAGCTACATTAAATTACATTTTATGTTTTATAACAATTAAATTTTCGAAAATTAAAATTTTTAAAAATTAATTATAAATTAACTAATAACAATAGAGGTGGAGCAATTTCGGATTCTACGGGTAGGAGCATTTGAGGAGCAAACAATTGGAATACAGTTTAATTTTGAAAAGTAGATATTTTATGTTTTATAGCAAAATTAAATTTTCGATAATTAAATTTAAAAAAAAAATAATTATGAACTTACTAATAGCAAAAGGGGTGGAGCAATTTCGGATTCTGCTGGAGCATTTAAGGAGCAATTAATTGGTATACAGTTTAAATCTAAAAAGAAGATATTTTATGTTTTATAGCAAAATTAAATTATAGATGATTATTTTTTTTAAATATTAATTATACATTAACTTATAGAAATATAGCTGGAGCAATTTCGGATTCTACTGGAGCATTTCAGGAGCAATTAATTGGCATATAGATTAATTTAAAAAAATATAGTTATACGCTAACTTCCTTCTGGTCGACAGAAGATAATTGGAGGCGCTGGGTAACGTTGACAAATGAAAATGACGACACTGGATACTACAGATTATAAGTTCGCATACTGACGATAAATGTAGAAAATACACTATATGCATTCACATAATACACAAAGATAGTGGTGTGGTAAAGAAAAATAGTTAAGAGACGTTATAGACATTATTGTGCATTGCAGTTTATTTAGGAAAATTATTTTTCATGTCTTCTATTACAACCTTTAAAAGTCCACTGCTGAACATAGGACTCTCCCTTAGATTACATCATAGGGAGGATTTGCTATAGTTACTACGCTTGGCAGGCGGGTTGACAGTAGCATTTTTTTTATTATTTTGAGTTGTTATAATTAAATAATCCCCCCAACTCAATAAGGGCAAGTATTTCGATATTATAGATCGATACTTTTCTTATATTTATAGATTGTATATTTATGTTCTAATATAGCAGCACTATTAAAATCCGTTAATGGCGATAATGCTCAAATATCGATAAGTTATTTAAAAAAAAATTCCCTGTGTGTTTGAGTTTTTTTATTGGAACAAAAACAATTACACATTAATGTAATACAAGACAATTAATTTATAATAGGAGTACTTAACGTGTAATCCACACCAATGCCCAGAAAGTAATATTATATGCTTAGCCTTATGTTTATTACATAAACAATCACCCACGCCTGTTACTCAGAAGGGTAGGCAGAGACTTCAGACTTTTATTTGGTACGATCCTGGCACACCTCTCTCGCCTCCTCCACATTCATATACCTACACATACATACATACTCATCGGTTAAAGGTACTTTTAATTTGACCCATTTTCAATATATCGCCAATTTGGTCGATAAAATTTCGCCTAAGGCGTCCCTTCCCGACTCTGCCGTTCACTTCTGCAGCATAAATTTGCTTTGTCACTCTTTCCTCATTCTTTCTTTTTACACGACCAAACCACCGAAGCATACCTTTCTTAATCCCAGTCACAACATCATCTTACAAACCGCACTCTTCTCTTATCACACTATTTCTCACCCTGTCATTCAGATACAGCCCTAACATACTCCTTAATGACCACATTTCTACAGCATTTATTCTACTTTCGTGCTTCTTCTGCCACACCCAATTTTCACTACCATACATTAAAATAGGGACTAACACAGCATTGTAAATTACCATACGTGCCTTTCTGGACACTTCTGACTTTTCATAATAGACTGTAGAGCCCTATTTATTATATTTCCTGCGTTCACTCGTCGTTCTATATCCTTATCATATCCCTGGTAAATACACATCTCAAATACACAAACTCATCTACTTGCTCGAGCAACTCCCTTCTATTCTTATTTCACATATCGTTTTACTTTCTTCTCTTTCAAAAACAATCACTTTCATCTTAATTGCGTTCACTTTGATTTCCCTTTCTTTTAATGACCTGTTCATTAATGTAACCATCATTTACAACTCGGCCGCCGACGACGCAAGTATGACATGATCATCGGCGTAGAAAAGGCATTTGACGGTTAACTCACCCATTCTTAACACACATTCTTCAACTTTCAGTTTCGAATCTATCCATAAAGTGGTTGAACAGCCACGGGGAAGCCACACAGCCCTGCATGACTCCTCAATGGATGACAAACCAGTCCGAGTAGGCCCCGTTGATTCAAATACAAGCACTAGAGTCTCTATAAAGAGACTTAATGCCTGTATCAACCCAACGCTCCACCCAAATGAGTTCAGTGTTTGCCATAACACATCCATGTCTACTCTGTCATATGCCTTTTCCAAGTCCATGAACGCACAAAATACTTTTGGTTTTTGGACAAAAACTTCTCCGCGATCATGCGCATGGAAAATATTTGATCCGTACACCTCATTCCCTTTCTAAATCCAGCTTGCATATCCCAAATTTTTCCATCAGTTTCTTTCATAACTTGTGGAACTTGTGGAACACCAGCGTTGATAGGCTTGAAATCAGAGCATGCACCGTTTACTACGACCTTGATGCTCCGATCAGCAAGGAAACTGGTGATCCACTTGCACAATTTCTCGGGAAGCCCATAGGAAGGAAGCTTCGAAAAAAGCACTTTGTGCTAGACCCGATCGAAGGCCTTCACTATGTCCAAACTAATGGCCAATGCCTCCCCCTTGGACTCTACTGCCTCCACCCATCTATGAGCCAGATAGACTAGAAGATCACCAGCTGATCGACCTCGCGAAAACCCTACTGGTGGTCACTAATCAGCTGGTGATCCTCAAGGTACCTCATGAGCTGTCAGTTTATAATGGATTCTATTATTTTGGAGAACAAGGAGGTGATGGCAATAGGCCTGTAGTTGGACGGGTCTGAGCGGTCGCCTTTTTTAGGGATCGGGTGGACCAAAGCTGTCTTCCATGAATTCGGGACTACGCCTTGGGAGTAGGAGTACCGGAAATGACGCGTTAAAACCGGTGCCAACTCCGGAGCACACGTCTTTAGCACAATGAGAGGGACTCCATCGGGCCCACTCGACTTGCTGACGTCCAGGGAGAAGAGTGCTTTGCGAACCGAGCGCTGTGTGAAACCGCACATCCGGCATGGAACACTCACATCGCGGGATGGTCGTCGGTGTGTTCCCCCGTCATCTAGAGTCGAGTTGGACGCAAAAAGAGAGCTCAACAGATCGGCTTTCTCCTTTGCGGCATGGGCCAGTGAGTCGTCCTCTCTGTGCAGAGATGGAAGAGATGGCTGACAGAAGTTCCCTTGGACAGCCTTGGCGAGAGACCAGAATGCACGGGTTCCCGAAGGAAGGTGAACTAGTTTCTCGCCAATTCTGCCGATGTGCTCAGACCTTGCCTTGACAATGACAACGCTTTTGAAGGACCTGGAGACGGAATTATACTTCTTTTTAAGTGCGCTGGTGTCAGCTGGTGACGCATCAACGTCTCGGGATGTAACCGAGACGTTGATGCGTCAGCCCAGACCCGGTAGCACCCCTGCTTATAGCGTAATGCTATTTTACAGGAGCGACCAAACCATGGCTGGGATCTGCTTCCGATGGGCACCACAGAGGATGGAATAAAAAGTTCCATACCCTGAAATACCACATCAGCAACAGAATCGGCAACAACGGCTGGGATCTTCCGGCGAGAAGCAAACCCACCCCCAAGGGTAGGATGCAAAAAAAGACCGCATCCCGTCCCAATCAGCTGACCTATAGTGCCAAACACGGCGGCAAGCTGCAGATCGCAATTGCGATTGGAGCGTGAGTGGCACCGTACTCCGGATCAGACAATGGTCCGAAGAGCCCAGAGGGGCATCGACGGAGACCTGATATCCGTCCGGATGAGAGGTCAGCAGAAGGTCCAACAGGGAAGGTACATGGTCTTCCACATCTGGGATCCGCGTAGGCGAAGTAACCAGCTGTGTTAGACCATATGCCAAAGCAAAGTCATAGACAGATCTACCCGCATGATCGGTTAAACGAGAACCAAGCCATTCAGCGTGGTGGGCGTTAAAATCACCGAGTATCACGATCTCTGCGGATGGGACCTGTTGTAGCACGGAGTCTGCAGCCATTTGGACGTGGTCGATGAGTCGGTCTGTGTCGGCATTACTGGTATGGGACCTATAAAGGCACCCGTAGACGCGGGGATGGTCGTCGCTGTCTACGCGCAGCCATAGGATGGACAGGTCCGTACCTTCAAGACTGCCGAGGCGTCGAAAACAGATGTCCTCTCTGACGTATACGCAAACTCCAGCCCGGGGCACAAAGGAGTGTTCCAATTTGTACCCCAGGAAGGAGAGATATGAAGTATCAGCCGAAGAGGACACCTGAGTCTCGGTTAAAAAGAGCAAGGCCGGCTTCGCCGTCTCTAGATGGTAATGGACAGCAAAAATGCACGGATAGCGTGACAGTGGTCGTCTTGGTTGTATTGCTCCGCTTGCCCCGAGCAGCATTAGTCGCGAGCGGAATTTTGCCCCCCCCCTCCCCCCCAGAATACGCGGGGCAGCCTGAGCAACCACGCAGGAGTGAAGCAGTTTGGTAGTGGATGCTCAGCGAGGGATTCTCCAGGGGTGCTGGTACCCTCCTGGGGTAGTCTTTTATTTAACTCCACTACCATGTTGATGGGGGGGGGGGGGGGGGGATTGGGTCTCCGGCCACCTGCACTCACGCAGAGGTAAACCTCTACTTCACGCTGGTATTCTGTGAGGTCGTGGTACCACCCCGGTTCGAGCAGGCCCTTCCGTGCGACAGCATCTCCCAATCTCTTTCCTCTTCTTTCGGAATTTCTATCTCATTTAATTCAAACGTCTCCTGTCACGTTATTATTTTATTTGATAATAAATAAATAATAACAACATTTTTTTTACAATGTTTAATAACACTACTTATAAAACTAGACTAATATAAGTACTTCTAAAGAGATATTTAATAACACTACTTGTAAAACTAGACTAATATAAGTACTTCTAAAGAGATATTTAATAATACTGCTTATAAAAAAAACTAATATAAATACTTCTAAGAAAATACTAAGTTGACTAATAATAAAAAAAACGCAAATAAAATAAAATTAACAGGTCGCGGGTTCGACGCATTTCAGGATCAGGAGAAAAAAGCAAGTACTTCCCTGGCACGACTGGCGGCGAGTCCGGCGGAAGTGGTTGGAGATATGTGTCCTTTATAGACCGATTTCGCTTGCGAATTCAATGTATATTTTATATATATATATATTTCATTTAATTCCAAATCCTCCCATCTTATCTCGTTTAGAAATAAAATAATAAGAAGGATGTCTCAGCCCCTGGCGAGGTTCCCTGGAACACACAGTCGAAATCTTTCATGAGCCTTGCCTCCAAAGTAGGTAATATTATACGCCCACCGCCAGAATCAACTAGGCGAGTAAAACTGATAAGTTTGGTGTGGCGGTACGTGCTACCAGAACGGAGGCAAGAAAATAAAGTTATATCAACTAAGCATCTACTATGAAAAGACATACATAATTACGTGGTAAAATAACTAGCATGTGACATAAAATTAAATTACACACTAAGTATCAATTGTCTAAACTTCAAAATCAAAGTAACATAATATTTGTTACACTATTGTAATACATATATTATAAATTTGCTCACACTTACCCAATATAAGGGGAACAACCGTTAATATTTAATAATTATTAACAAACCTATAAAAAGCTATTAGCTATAATTTGCATAACGTATGCGTTTTGAATTATTTAATATAGATGCAGAAATGCATTTAGGCGACTGGACCTTCACGGTCACACTGAGGTCACTCGTCAGCCGCGCGGACTATTCATGCACCCCCACTTGTCTTCGCGCGAATTAGATGACACATTACAATACCCCGCTGGCCACCCAAGGATTTTTCTTCCTATAAGTAGAAAAATCCGCAGCAAAACCAAAAAATATGCTATTTAGACAATTTAAAATCTTTTATGTGCCATGGCCCTAAATATTTACCGTGCATGTCCTCCAATTCGTACACTAGAGGTGACCTCTTTTTAGTTATGCGGCATTTAATAAATTTTGGGGCTAATTTTTTATTAAAATATTTGTGTTTATCACTCAGATAGTAAGTGCGCTTAAATACAATATCGCCTTCGTTAAATTCTGTGAACCTTCTCCTTAAATTATAGCGTTTGGAATTTTGTTGATGATGATGCCATAGTGATGCCTGAACTTTGTTGAATATTTTAGCGAGATAACCGATGTTCTCAGCATAGGCGTCTCGCGGTAAGAAAACAATTTCATCGCCAAGGTCGTTGTCAACGTAGTGAGAACCACATATTACCAATTCACGCCCATATACAAGGAATGAGGGAGTGTAACCAGTAACCTCGTTAACGGAGTTGTTTATTGCAAACAGTATTTTAGGCAAATATACATCCCAAGAACGCTGATCTTCTTTCACAAAGGTCGATATACAGGTGACAATAGTTTTATTATAGCGTTCCACCAAATTAACCTGAGGAGTATATTTAGGTGTAAGAAAAACGTTAGGAATATTATACTTATTAAATAACGCAATGGTCTTCTCACAAATAAATTGGCTGCCATTATCCATATACACCGTTTGGGGAATGCCATGTGTTAAAAATACAGAGTCTTCCAGATGTTTAATTACAATGTCGGCTGTAGCTCTTCTTACCGGAAACGCTAAACAATATTTGGAGAAACAACATGTTACGACTAAGATATAAGAATTTTGTTTTCTACTAACTGGCAGGGGTCCGATGAAATCAATTGAAATAATTTGGAAGGGTCGGCAACACTGTTTAGGTCGTCCCATTTCTCCTAACACATTATGAGTAGGGAGTTTATAAGTTAAGCAGATGTCACACTTCGTAACAAACTTTACGACGTCCCGATGCATACCTGGCCAAAAATACTGCAATGCTAAACGGCGATAAGTTTTATGGATGCCTAAATGACCTGACGTGGGTTCTGCGTGATTTTCTTTGATAACGTGTTCTCGTAATTCTAATGGAACTACTTCTTTCCACGAAAACTCTGTAGTTAATAAACATTTATTTTTTGAACACCGATATAGCTTTTCCGCTTTGATAAGAAAATTTTCATATTTACTTGGATTGTTCATACAACCATTATAAATGTCTAGATACCATTTATCATTCGTTGTTAAGTAAGATTTTGCTGTGGAAATAGAAGAAACTACGACAGCGCGAGATAACGCGTCTGGAATAATGTTATCAGCACCACGTCTATGCTTGATAGTAAAATCAAAAGAAGATAGCCTAATGCCCCATCTTGCAAGCCTGCCCGTAGGGTTGTTTAAAGAGAGAAACCACTTTAATGCTGAATGATCAGTGTAAACTACAAAAGGTTGACCATTTTCAAGATAGCAACGCCAGTGTTCTAATGCTACTATTACAGCTAATGTCTCTCTCTCGGTAATGCTGTAATTCTTTTCTGCAGCATTTAGTGACTTGCTCATATAGGCAACAGGATGTTCTTTGCCATCGACTGTTTGAGTTAGCATGGCACCTACTCCATAATTACTGGCGTCTGTGTGAACTTGGAAGGGCAAATTATAGTTAGGACAATGTAAGACTGGTGCAGATACTAAACATTCTTTTAGCTTTTTAAAAGCTATGTCTGCCTCTGGTGACCAGTAAAATTTTGGAGCACCCTTGCGATTTGAAGTAAGTTTATTAAGAGGCCCAGCTATAGTGCTAAAATTTGGCACAAAACGTCTATACCAGGTGGCTGTTCCTAAAAAACGTTTTACATCTTTTTTTGAAGATGGTGTTGGATACTCTAAAATAGCTTTTACCTTTTCAGGGTCTGTTCTGAGACCCTGGGCGTCTATTACGTAGCCCAAATATTTCAGACGAGACCGAAAAAATTGGCTTTTTTTCAAAGTTTATTGTTAAATTTGCTTCCTTTAACTTATTTATTACACGTAATAATAAAGAAACGTGTTCATCGAATGTGTTAGAAATAATAATTATATCATCGAGGTATGCAAATACCTTAAGATCAAATGAACCAAATAATAAGTCTACAAGCCTTTGTTGGGTTGCAGGTGCATTGGTAAGGCCGAAAGCCATCCTCTTAAAACAAAAGGTCCCACGACCTTGGACATAAAAGGCAGTTTTTTCGCGATCGCGTTCTGAAATTAAAATTTGCCAGAATGCTTTAGAAAGGTCTATACTAGATATAAATTTTGCGTCTCGCAGATTATCTAGAATTTCGGAAACATATGGCAAGGAATAAGCATCGCGTTTGGTTACAGAATTTAACTTGCGACTGTCTAAGCAAATGCGCGGTTGGCCGTTTTTTTTTGTAACAATTAAGATTGGAGAGGACCAAGAGCTCTCACAAGGCTGAATTACGTCCAATGAAAGCATCTCGTCAACTTGCTGGCATAAAATTTGCTGCTTTACAGGGGACATTCGATAATAACGCTGTCGTATAGGTTTCGTGTCACCCGTATCAATAGAATGACATACAAGAGAAGTACAACCTAAGCCCTTGCGTTCGGAAGAAACGCCCTTAAATTGTTCAATTATGTCGTCAGCAATCAAGCGTTGGTTGGCATTAAGGGATGCGTATGAATGTATATGAGATTTTAATATTGATTCATTCGTGTTTGAATAATAATCGGTGAGTTCTCTTTTATATTCAATGCAGTTGATGTATTTTGGGCATATGTTAAATTTTTTCCAGAAATCAATACCTAATATAAGAGAAGTCTCTATTTCAGGAACTACAAATGTCTTCAAAGTATAATAATTGTTTTCAAAATTAAATGGGAGATTAATATATCCTAAGCAATTAAGTTTTTGTCCACCGGCTGCTGTTATAGAGACTATTTCATCAGTGCGCACAGCAAATCCTTCATCTATCAGTAAGTTGTGTGCATTATTGCCTAGTAAGGTGACGGCTGAGCCAGAATCTAATAACCCCCAAAATTTTGTATTTCCTATTTTGACTGATAAATAAGGTCGCACGTCGTTAGGTGGTTTATTAAGTAGAATTGTAGCAACTGTATAGCTATTAAAAAAATTATTAATAAACTTCAACCACTGTTTCCAATCGGTATTATTAGAGTGGTTGACGAGGTTGCTACAATTCTGCTTTATTAGTTTTTTGAACTAGACGGAATACTTGTACAATCTGGACAAGTGTAAAATGTGTAATCATCACGGCCACATTTGAAACAAAATACTTTGCGTTTTTCTGTACATTGTCTTAAGTTGTGTGTATCAACACGACACCGGGGGCAAAACTTTTGTTTACTTTCGTCATATTGAATAGCGTCAATTGGTTTATTATGACCATAAACTCTTTGTTGCCGTTGCGGATAAGTGTTGTTTAAAACATTAGAATTGGGAGAATATTTTTTATAAAGGTTACTTGAATTAGGTATAGGTTTATTATAATTATTATAAGCTTTATTGCAATTAAATTTATTAGTGGCAGAATAGTACATTTTATTTTTTTTCTGCTAAATTAGTGAGTGGCTTAAATGCAAATTCGGGTGCCAGTGTGGCTGAATTTATTTTAGGAGGTTCATGATATTTATTAAGACAAGACTGTACATTCTCATAATTTTTACAAGCCGTACGTAAGACCTCAATAGATTTAAGATCAGGCACTGCAATTAAAGCGCTAGCATAACACGGTTTGATATTGTGCATAATAATTTCTAACTGATCTTCCTCCGAAGGTTTTTTAAATAAACGGGAAAACATGCCTGACATAATGGCTAGGTAAATAGTAATATTCTCAGTTTCACCTTGCGTACGAGCTTTTATCTCATCTAATAAGCGATAATCATGATCAGGAATAACAAAAACATCCTTCAGTAATTCGCATAATCTATCCCAAGACGTAACATGTGATCTTACACTGCGAAACCAGTGTAAAGCATCACCAACGAAAATTTCTGTTCCAAAATCTATAATTTTAGAAGAGGGAATACCACGGGCTGTTATATAGTCGTTTATACGTTGGACAAACGAAAGTACGCACGTTTTTCCATCAAACTTAATACTAGTTAAGTCCGAAGAATGAGCTCGATCACATGTAACAACAATAGGGGACGGTGTAATTGTAAGAGCATCTTGAATAAAACTATTTTTACGGATTTTATCGCGTTTAATTTACTTATTTTTATATTCCCGACGTTTCGGTTGCTTTCCAGCAACCGTGGTCACGGGGGACTGAGGTGATTGACGTCCCGATGTCAAAGTTAACCCGGAGTACCTTCAGCTTTTTAATTATTAATTTTGGTCCGATCTACGCAGAATGAACTAACTGTGTCTTGAAGTCTTACAGTGGTATGCTTGGGTTTAGTTTTAATTTTATGAATTACAGGATCCCAAGCAGGTGGTAGTACCCAGCCTCCCTCTCTATTGAAATTAGGATGTTTTTTAATTTCAATAGCCTCACGTATCATCCTTGGCAGGAATCGATGTTCTTTCGCGAGGACTTGTGGTTTATCAAATCTAATGTAATGACGGGGGCCGTCTAGGATATGATCACAAACTGCAGACTTCCCGGAACGTTGGTGCTTCACGTCAGCTATGTGTTCTTTTACGCGGGTTTTTATTGATCGTTTTGTTTGCCCTATATATGAGAGACCACACTCACAATCAAGCTTGTATACTCCTGCATCTTGTAGAGGAATATTGCACTTGACGGATGGTAAGAACTGACTAATCTTCTTCGGCGGCTTGAAGAATGTTCTAATAGAAGCTCGCTTCAAGATGTAGCCAATCTTGTCTGTGACACCTCTGACATATGGTAGTACAGCAGGCACACGCTCGACTGTGGCCGGCTTCACTCGGTCACTGTGACGTAGGCGCGGAACCCGAAGCTTGTTGTCGTGCAGAACCTGCTTGACGTGCTGAAGCTCGGCGGCCAGGTGTTTGCTGTCACAGATCCCTCGTGTTCTCTGCAACAAAGATTTGCCCACGGTAGCTAACTGTGAAGGATGATGGTGGGATTCACCGTTTAAGTATCGGTTTGTATGGGTCTTTTTTCTATACACAGTGTGACCTACGGTGTTATTAGGATTTCGAATGACTAACACATCTAGGAAAGCTAAAGAATTATTTGCCTCTAACTCCATAGTAAATTGAATTTTAGAGTTTATGGAATTAAGATGTTCTAAAAATGCAGTTACTTTGTCTGATGGTAAAATTGTGAAAGTATCGTCTACGTACCGCTTGTAGAAACTTGGAGTTACTGGTGCAGTAAGCAGGGCTTTCTCCTCAAAGTCCTCCATGAAAATATCGGCGACAATGGGAGATACCGGTGAGCCCATCGCAACACCATCTACTTGCTTGTAAAACTGTTCCTTCCACAATAGGTAGCCAGATGTAAGGCAATGTCTGAGTAATACTGCATATTCTGCTGGCATGTTGTTTTCCTCTAGTTTCCTAGTTATAATTGAGATGCAGTCTTCAACAGGTAGGCATGTAAATAGAGACTGAACATCAAAACTGACCATAGTTTCATTGTCAGTAAGACATAGGTCTTTTATCTCACTGACAAAATGGTATGAATCCTTAGTGTGTGCTCTTGTATGTCCTCTGAGTGGTGATAGTACTTTTGCTAAGTGTTGAGCCAATCTGTAAGTTGGCGAATCGATCTGACTCACTATTGGACGTAATGGAGCGTTCGGTTTGTGTATTTTTGGTAACCCATACAACTTCGGCGGTTTGGCACACGTAGGTATTATCGAATTTACGTCTAGATTCAGTTTCTCGGAGTATTTCTTTATTAGATCGCTAGTTATTTTAAGCGTATTAGTTGTAGGATCTGTTTTGACCTTTACGTACGTACTTTCATCCGATAAAAGTTGTTGTATTTTAAAATTGTAATCCGACGTATCCATTATAACCGTAGCATTACCTTTATCTGCGCGGAGAATCGTAAGATCAGGAGGTCTACTCTAATTCAACGAAAAACGAAATTTCGATCGAAATTTCGCTCAATTCCTACCATGGTTCCATTCGATTCGAAACTTCGTTGAAACGAAATTAGTTTGACGTTTAAATTCTCTAAGCCTACTCTATTGCACTAAAGTTACGAACGAAAATTGAAGTTTGACAGATACTTGTTCGTAATTTTAACCTCAAATTGACGAAACCAAAAGTGTTAACTTTTTATTTTCGTTTTGGTCGATTTTGTTAAAAATTTAACTAAAATGGCTACGAGACAGCTTTTAATCGCGGCTGCTTTACGTGAAGAACGATTGGAGCGTAGAAGGAACCGGCGCCGCCTGCGTAATCAATTAAATATTTCAAATATTCCCGATCTAGAGTTTGTCGGAAATTACAGACTCAGTCGGGAATTATTCGAGGAGTTGTGCCAGGACATAGTGCCTTTATTGCCTCCAAAGGGAAGACGACATGGAATCGAGCCCACACTTAAAGTAAGTTTTAATTGTTTAAACCTTCTCTTTAATTTTTCATTTTACTGTTCATAAGCCTCAATCTGTGTTAATGTATTTCAGATACTTACTGCTTTGAACTTTTATGCCCGAGGAAGTTACCAGGGGTCAGTGGGACAAAATATGGATGGGCCCATGGCACAACAGACAGTGTCCCGTTGTTTACAAGAGGTAACAACTGCACTTAATGCACCTCACATACTAAGGAAGCACATAAGATTCCCACAAAATAGGAATGAAAGGAATCTTATTAAGCAGAAGTAAGTACTTACCTTCCTATCTAGTATTGACCGTTAAACTTATTAACATGTGAAATACCTAGTAATTAAAATATTATTCTGTTATTTTAAATGAACAATTTACATAAAAAGTGTGCCAAGACTAGGCAAATAAGTCATGCAAAAACAAATATAATTTTATTGTACAATTTACTATTCTATAATAATATTGTATCCTTATTGTAGATTTTATGATAAATATGGGCTACCCGCTGTGGTGGGGTGCATCGATTGTTCACATGTAGCCATAGTGAGGCCTTCGGAGCACGAGGAACGATATTTTAATCGAAAACATTTTCATTCGATTAATACTCAAGTTGTAAGTTTATGTACAATATTTTAATGTTTTTATTATGACATTCACTATTTTATTACTTACATTTTATCCTATGTTACATTGATGGAAATTCTTTTTCAGATATGTGACAGTGATTTATTAATTACAAATGTTGATGCTTCATATGGTGGAGCAACTCACGACGCTTATATTTGGAGGGAATGTGATCCTCTCTTCTCCGACGACTTTGCAGCGGGCGGACGTGTGTCGTGTTTTTAAATAAATCTATTCAATTTATCACATACCATAAATAGTCTTAAAGTTGTTATCATTAGTGCAAAAATCCTGTCGCAAACCATATTTTGGTGACTTGCACGCGAGCGAACGACGTGTACCACCGAGAGAGGGGGCCCTTATTCACCCCCGCGAGAAAGGTACAATTGCATTTTTTATCTCTCTCCACCTTCTTGCTACGATTGAACTACGAGCACGCCCACTTGCTACGAGAAAACTACGTATTACGTAGCACTTAAACATTGCTTGCCGCGCTTGCCGTGCTGTGTGATTAATCGGGCTGTTTGGTGAGATCTATTCTACTATTGTCATTTATAATAACTGCTGTTTTACGAGTACAATAATATCATGGAGCCACATAGTTCATTGGACAAAACAAACTCCGCGCCTAATTTAAGTATCGTTGATGACGATACCCCCGAAAAGACTTACGGGTTTATTACATCAAGGGCAAAACGGCAAAGGATGGACGACGAGAAAAACAGATGCGATTATAGTGAATTTCGACACGAAATGCATGAATTATTTGAAAGTTGGACGCTTAGGCAAGACAGCCAAATGCGAAAACAGGAGGCTCAAATTACAAAATTATTCCCGATATTAAAAGGAATTCAGGAAGCTAATAATAATATTGAAGCCACCATCACATTTCTGGCAGAGCAGAACGCCGAGCTAAAGAAGAATGCCGAGCGTTTGGAAGGGGAGATTAAGAAAAGGGATGAATATGTTGCGATACTTGAGGACCGCCTAGAAGACACCCTGAGAAATAGCCGTAAAACTACTATAGAGATTAAAAATGTAGTTTTTGATACTAATGTGTCAAAAGACGGTCTGGTTAGCATGATCGAAAACCTTTCTAAAACCATAAACGTCACTATTGATAGGAGTAATATTAGAGACATTTACAAATCAAAAAGCACAACGGAGAAAAAATCTGTGATTGTTGAATTTAGCTCGACTCTTTTAAAGGAAGACATTCTTAAAGGGGCTAAGTCATTTAACAAACGGAACCATAGTAACAAATTATGCGCCAAGCACTTGGGGAACAAAAGAAATCCCGATAGTCCCATCTTTATCGCAGAGTATCTTACACCGAAGGCATCGAGATTATTCTTTTTGGCGAGAGACTTGAGAAGGTCCAAGAATTACAAATACTGTTGGACATCCTACGGTCGTGTATACGTGAGGAAGGACGACAACTCTCCTATCATACATATTACGAATGAGGCAATGATTCAAAAACTGATGAACAACTGACTAGCTTTCTTATTACTTTTACTAAAATGTTTTCTCTGTTTTTGTAACCTAAAGATGCTTGCTGTGTACTTTGGTTTATTTTATAACCTTACTCGTGTACTTTTAACTTGTTCTGAAATGTGTACGAACACTTACTCATTTTTTCAAATATTCTATACAACACTAAATTATGTCTTAACCAATCCCTATCATCAGATTATACACTCAGTCCCTAAATATATAAAATACAATTTTCACATTATTTACTTATATAATGATTTTTACTCCTACAAATTTAACCATACATTAATTACAATATTACACCGTCTGTTTATAAATTTAAATATAAATCGAAATCCCATGTACGAAATTAGAAACGCGATACTATACCCATACTTCAACTTATTATTTAACGATATCGTCGGAAATAATTTTTTACTGTTTTCACACTTTTCACAAAGACTGCCGATAATATGTTTAATTATTCCGCCTATTTATAATGGATAGCGAAGACCAATTATTGCATGAATTGGATTACATTAATAATGTAAATAGCTTTGCCTGTAATACAAATGAACTCCCCAATCTTTTACCTTCAGATAAACCAGCTTTTTCGATAATTACTCAGAACATCAGGAGTATAAACAAGAACTCCGATGATTTTTCAGTTAGCCTATCATTAGTTGAGGAACATATTGATATTTTAATATTGACTGAATGCCGATTAAATCCTGATATTCCTTTACCAAATAGACCCGGGTATTACGTTTATAACACTACTAACAAAGTTACTCAAAACGATGGGGTCGTTGTCTACATAAATGAAACTTTAGAACATAAAGTTAAAGAGATTTTTATAAATGATGCTACATGTCTGCAAGTTTGGTTAACTGACCTCATTATCTTGTGTATATATAGATCACCATCTAATTATAACATTGAAAGTTTTGTAAATTCTTTAGATCAATATCTTCAATCTAACAATTTAAGTAAAAACGTAATAATAACAGGTGACATCAACATTAATCTATTAGAGGGCCACCTAGATGCACGTAGTCACAAATATCTTGAGACAATGGCGCAACACGGTTTATTGCCTGGACATAGATTAAACACTAGAGTCAACAGCTGTATAGATCACGTTTTCGCTAATCTTGATCCCAATAAGTACTCTGCTACGATAGCGGTCCTAGAAGCCACTACTACCGACCATTCCATGGTTCTTACCTACATCTACTCGAAAAGCGATTTTACTCACAGAAAATCAACAAAAGTATTTATTGATTACAAAAGTGCAGTAAATACTCTAAATGATAACAATCTGGCTGAACTTATTAAAATAGAAGACCCAAACACTTTATCTGAAAAATTAATTGAAATAATTAACAAATCAATAGAAACTAATACAAAAGTAATAAAAATCCCAAGTAATAAACGTATTATTAAACCCTGGATAACTCCGGGTTTGTTGAAATGCATAAAAAACAGAAATAGGCTTCAAAAACAATCACAACAAAATAAAGAAAACGAAACATTATCTTTAATATACAAACGATATCGTAATTTTTGTAACAATCTGTTAAAAAAACTTAAACGAAAATATGAACAAGATCTACTCCTTAAAGCTAAAAATAATAATAAATTACTTTGGAATACGTTAAAGAATATTACGCACCTCAATAATAAAAAGTCTAATAATCAAGAACTTAGACAGTTGGCTGATACACCAAATAACTCTGCAAATTTAATTAATAACCATTTCTTAAATGTTGGGAAAACGCTCGCAGAAGACATTATTACACATAATCTACCTCAAAGTAACTTCGAGTTACTACCTTCTCCTCAACCCAATTCCATCGGATTTATTGAACCGGATACAAATGAAATTGAATCAATTATCACAAACCTTAAATCTGATTCTGCCCCTGGCTGGGACAATATACCCACAAAATTTATTAAACTTGCCAAAACAGAACTTAGCCCTATTATCAATCATCTCTGCGTATTATGTTTTAATAAAGGCGTGTTTCCTCAGTCATTAAAAAGGGCAATTATTCATCCTATATATAAGAGTGGGGCTAGAGACGACGTAAATAACTACAGACCTATTTCTGTTCTAACAGTGATTTCCAAAGTTATAGAAAAAATTATTAATAAACGGCTTTTAAATTTTATAAACAAATATAACATTTTATCGGACGCTCAGTTTGGCTTTAGAGGAAAAAGGAGCACAGAAGATGCTATTTTAGCATTGACCGGCAATATTGTTAATATACTTGATAGAAGTGAGAAAGCTTTGTGTATATTTCTAGACCTAAAAAAGGCGTTTGACACCGTCTCCATCCCCATTCTTATCAAGAAACTTGACAGAATTGGTGTTCGTGGTCAATTTCTTCTTCTCATATCCGACTATCTTTTAAGGAGAACTCAACAAGTCAAAATAGACAATAACTCTTATAGTTCTAATGAGCTCTGCACACAATATGGCGTTCCACAGGGTAGTGTTCTTGGACCTACCCTGTTCCTAATATATATCAATGACCTTACTAAAACTAAATTACCAAACGGTAAAATCTTCTCTTACGCCGACGATACAGCGCTTCTTTTTTATGGTAAAAACTGGGATGAAGTCCACGAGTCAGCCTCCAAGGGCCTACACAGTGTTATCAAATGGTTACATAGCAATCTCCTTACCTTAAATATTAGTAAAACAAACTATATAACATTTGCAATCAAAAATTCCACGCAACCCAATAATAATCTTCATCTTATCGCCCATTCCTGTAAAAACCCTTACAGAGCGCCTAAATGTAACTGCCAGACGCTGCAAAAGGTTAGTTTCACAAAATACTTAGGGATATATCTCGACCAGCAACTAAATTGGCATAAACAAATTGACACTTGCACCCACAGAGTCAGAAAACTATTGTGGTTGTTCAAGTACATAAGACATGTCGCCAATAAACAACTTATTACTTACATTTATACTGCTCTGGTACAATCCATCATACTATATTGCTTGCCAATATGGGGTGGTACCCACAAAACCAAAATGATTAAAATTGAGAGGGCTCAACGCTCACTCCTTAAAGTTATGACATTCAGGAAAATTACATCGGGAACTTCTGAACTATATCGGGACTGCAATGTTTTAACTGTTAGGCAACTTTACATATTAAAATGTATTCTTAAAATTCACAAAACTATTACCCTAGATACAAAAATCTTAAGTAAGCGTAATCCCTATTCTGTCGTTTCCTACCCCACTGTTAAAACAAAATTTGCTCGTACAAATTTCAATTCGCAATCTCACTTATTGTATAATAAATTAAATGGGAAACTCAAGTTTTACAGCAAACATTACTTTGAGTGTAAAAAATTGATTACTTCTTGGTTGAAACAGCTTGACTATGACAGTACTGAATCATTACTTTCACACAACATGTAACATACGTTTGTTCGTATGAATCTTATTATATTACAATTATTATTTTCTTTTATGTATAAATTGAAAAACACACACACCCACTCACTCACTCACTCACACACACACACACACACACACACACACACACACACACACACACACACACACACACACACACACACACACACACACACACACACACACACACACACACTCACAGCTATTATAATTATTGTTACTTTTGACTGTTGATTTATCTTTATGTAATACAAGTCATATCTATCATGACTTACTGATTAAAGAAAGAGCGGACTCATCCTAATACAGGTTTTTCAAACTTAAAAGGGTGAGATCCATATCTAACACTGTAAATGAGACTTGTGTTATGAATAAATATTTTTGTATTTTTGTATTTTGTATTTTGTATTTTTGTATGATAAGAAACCACTTGGAGGGTCTCCAGGATGAAACAGTTTATCTATTAGGCATGTCTTGATTTATAGTTTTGATATTCATTATGTGTAAGTAATGTGATGATGCAATTTACACTAATATTATATTTTTAAATTTTTAGGTGATTCTGGTTATGCTCTAAGGGAGCATATGATGACACCTGTAGATAATGCTGTTGAGAACTCTCCAGAGGGAAGGTACAATTACCTCCAAAAACGTGTACGCTGCACCATAGAACGCACATTTGGTGTATTGAAGGGTCGATGGAGATGTCTTTTGGCAGCTAGGGAACTCCATTACTGCCCAGAAACAGCAGGTAAAATTATATTAGCCTGCTGTGTTTTACACAACATGTGTATAAGGGCTGGTATTGAAGGTCCCGAGTTGACTGAAGAGGAACACCAATCGGAGAGAACCAGGCAGGTTCCCTTTGAAACAGCCGCATCTTCTACTCAAGCTCTACAGGCAGGTCGAAGGGCAAGGAATTCATTAATACAAATGTTAGAAAGGAACCGGTAAGATAAACTCAAACCAAACAATTGTGCAAGTAGATTAAAATAAACTCAATTAAAAAGTTTTTTTTTGTTTTAGGAGATAATCATCATCATCATCATATCAGCCACATTTAAGCCGTTTATTTGTGATTAAGTAACAATCATAATCCATACTTTCTCATTTATAATATTATAGGATTAGGAATTAATATTACTGAAATGTATGGCACTCACTTCTTACCTAAAACATACACTTCTTATCTTGTTATAATTGTAAGCAATGCGTTTTTTTTTAATGTTAACTTTTATGTCTAATGAATTTAGTTAATATTGCATATTGTACAACATTATCTATTTAGGTATGAATTTTCGAGTAGGTACCTAGTAGACAGTGTTTTCTCAACTAGTTGAAAGTTATTTTCTCTTACCTTTCCGATGTGTAGATAATTAATTTCAATACCTGCCCATTGTATGTAAACTTTTGTTAATTTTTGTGATGTAAAATTACATTACCTTAAAGGTCATTTTACAAATTTGATGACTCTGTATGAAATTATACAAGGAGAAAAAAATCAGCCCTTAACGAGTTTCTTGCCGGTTCTTCTCGTTACAAGGTCTCCCGCTTAGGGTTTGAGAACCGATGGCGTAGCTTCTTTGACATTCACAAGTGCTTGTAACAGCCTAGATTAAAATATTTTTAGGCATAAAATTAGTTCTGTTTTATTTTTTCACCTACTTATCGTTATCCTACCTACCTAGATGTTCATAAAATGGCAACAAATATTTACTTAATCCTTACCTATGACATTGCAGATATTTTGTCACATACAGAGAAAATAATAACTTCTATGATTTTAAATACTTAACAGTATCTTTATATTATATCGAATTATGGTCATGATAATCAACTCTCAGTAATAATAAAGTTCTTATTTTAGCTTTCTTAATCTGAAAGTACAAATAGTCTCAAAAATAGTAAAAAGAAACAATAGTTTTCAAAAATAAATTTATTTAAAACCTAACGCCTATTTTGCCTTAAAAACTCTAAATAATCTCGCCCTATGTCACGCAACTCTTCCAAGGCAGCCCTGATGCCTGCGAGCTCGGTGTTCCTCACTGTCTCTCTCTCTGCACATCCATCTTCATACTGGTACAACCTGCTTCTGACATCGGAGCCAGCAGCAGATCGTATTCTTCTGGGACGTGCAGATTGTGAGGCTGCAAAACAACATTCCAATATGTTACATTGCAGTAAATACTTAATCAATAAGTATATTTTTTGTGACAAACAATATTTTTCTTGTAATTTTAATCTCGACTGTAGTTTAGTGGTAAGACCTTCATGTATCAAATACATCCATACATACCTTCTTGTGTATCAATTTCGATAGAAATTTCGTTTTTCGTTGAATTAGAGTAGACCTGCTGGCTTTCTTTGCTTGGGTCGGCGTACTCCTCAACTTCTACATGCAAGTCCAGGCTCTGCTGCTGCAGTTGGCTTCCTTGACTGTAGGTTGATGGTCTGGATTCATTCGTCTGAAATGAATATAAAAGATTGAATGCTTAATGTTTAAGTGAAGTATTAATTTTTAATGTCTACCACAATACAAATTGTATTGTATTTTTACCTGATGGGTTAAAAAAAGTAGCATACTCACATAGAAAAATAATTTTGTAAATAAAAATCATATATCATTAAGATAAATATTTGAACATATCAAAGTTTAGAAATAGGGAAACCAAAGAATGATGAGGTACTTACTTCAGTGAAAGCTGGCACTCTGGCTCCAATTTGGCGGTCACCGAACCCATCTCCCATTATGGATAATACTTTTAATTCCGAATGGGAGAGTTGGGGTGCCACTGATGGACCACCTCCAGTCATTGAAGCCGACCTCCGGGAATCAGCAGCGGCTTTTTTGGCCAGATGTTTTCTATCAAACCATACCTATCCAAAATAAAAGTAAATATTAAATCTTTGTCACTCACTTTTCACTGAAAAATAGCTTAAGCATTTAATTATATTACTACGAATTACCTTTTGCCACTGCTGAACTGTCTTTATGCAACCGCCCATGGAATTGAGCGTATTGCACAATTCATCCCACAGCCTCTTCGCCTGGACTTTTCCTTCTAGACTCCTCAATCTCCCGCGAGCAAGATCCCTATGCTCGTCCAGGAAATTGAGGAGTGCATCAATTTGTTCAGGAGTAGCCGAACCCGTATGTGGAGCCATTATTTTACACTGAAAGATGAGATGAAAATAAATTATAGGTACCTATTATTACAAAAAAATATGTTATAGAAGTATTATAAGTGCAAAACAATTAACATTACTTACACTCTTTCTGAATATAAAACCAAATTAAACCAAATAGAAGTCTTTGTGGACCAAAGGACGCCCATATGAAGACTGCGACTTGAAATTGAAACTTTGTCAGGGAATGTGTATCGCGTTTGCAAAGTAGGCAAAGAAAAAAACAAAACATATTAATAACTCTTCACTTGAGCACACAGGAAAGAATCTCTACCTACGTCTTACACTTGAGCTTGAGAAACAAACTAACTATTCAAACTTTCAAAGAATGCAAACAAAAAATCCACAAGTGATGACTGACAGACAGCATTGTGATAATACGGATAAGTTTGGTTGTTATACGATACTATAAACACCGTTTGTTATTATTGTACACCTTAACTTAGTCGGTTAACGGTCATTGAAAGGGTTATTTTAATGTCACTGTGATTTTCTTCGAAAACTTGTATATTTATTGCTTGTGTAAGATTTTTTGGAATAATATGCATAAAAAACCACGATTATATTTTAATAAATTCGTAAAATACATAACATTGTTCGTTCCATTCGTTCACGAAAATTGTCTTTGGATTCGAACTTTGCGTGCGCGTCCGAAAATGATATAGAGTAGGGTCAGACACGAAACTTCGTTTAAATTTCGTTCGTTAACGAAGTTTCGTTTCGGAGAAAGAGAGTAGGCCTCCTGGTCTGTTGCGTAAGTTTTTTAATGCAGTAAATTCATCTTTGGGAAGATTTAATTTTGGCGCTGAGCTTCGACGTAACAAGGACGAAATGTCTTGACGTATAGCCTCTAAATCTTCTTTACCAATATTATTTTTATACAGACAGTCCTCAACACTACAGATAATGTTTTCATACGGAATTTTTCGCGGTGTTATAGCGAAATTCATACCTTTGGCCAAAACTTTTATCGTCGCGTCGTCTAGAGATTGTTTTGACAGGTTATAGACCGCACGTTGTTTATTACTCGCGTCTGTTGTCAATGATTGCGTTCCGTTATTATGTTGACATTGGCGTTGGACATTTGATTTGGTTGTTAGTTTTTGGTATTTATCTATATGTTTATTTTTGCATTCATTGTATTTAGTTGTTTCACGTTTGTCTAAAGTTTCCATGCAATTCTTATAATCAAATGTCGATAAAACTGTCTTTAGATCACTGGACGATTTGTCTATGGTTTTATTAATGAAACATAGATCGGTACGTTTTTGCTGAATCACCGTTATTAACAATTTTTTGCTTGCCTGATTTAAGATCTTAGCGCTTCCTCGAATGTCTTTTTTAGTAGATATCTTGACACACGTAGGAATGAGATTATGGTCTCTGCATCTCTTCAAGAAGTTTAAAGCTGTTATGTATCTTGCGCGCTTGGTTTTGAGATCTTCTAGTCGGCGTATTTTATTTGCTATTTCCAGTCCGTACTGGTTTACATAATGATTTCTTATATTTACGCGAACACTACACATTGAATAAAACTATTTTTACGGATTTTATCGCGTTTAATTTACTTATTTTTATATTCCCGACGTTTCGGTTGCTTTCCAGCAACCGTGGTCACGGGGGACTGAGGTGATTGACGTCCCGATGTCAAAGTTAACCCGGAGTACCTTCAGCTTTTTAATTATTAATTTTGGTCCGATCTACGCAGAATGAACTAACTGTGTCTTGAAGTCTTACAGTGGTATGCTTGGGTTTAGTTTTAATTTTATGAATTACAGGATCCCAAGCAGGTGGTAGTACCCAGCCTCCCTCTCTATTGAAATTAGGATGTTTTTTAATTTCAATAGCCTCACGTATCATCCTTGGCAGGAATCGATGTTCTTTCGCGAGGACTTGTGGTTTATCAAATCTAATGTAATGACGGGGGCCGTCTAGGATATGATCACAAACTGCAGACTTCCCGGAACGTTGGTGCTTCACGTCAGCTATGTGTTCTTTTACGCGGGTTTTTATTGATCGTTTTGTTTGCCCTATATATGAGAGACCACACTCACAATCAAGCTTGTATACTCCTGCATCTTGTAGAGGAATATTGCACTTGACGGATGGTAAGAACTGACTAATCTTCTTCGGCGGCTTGAAGAATGTTCTAATAGAAGCTCGCTTCAAGATGTAGCCAATCTTGTCTGTGACACCTCTGACATATGGTAGTACAGCAGGCACACGCTCGACTGTGGCCGGCTTCACTCGGTCACTGTGACGTAGGCGCGGAACCCGAAGCTTGTTGTCGTGCAGAACCTGCTTGACGTGCTGAAGCTCGGCGGCCAGGTGTTTGCTGTCACAGATCCCTCGTGTTCTCTGCAACAAAGATTTGCCCACGGTAGCTAACTGTGAAGGATGATGGTGGGATTCACCGTTTAAGTATCGGTTTGTATGGGTCTTTTTTCTATACACAGTGTGACCTACGGTGTTATTAGGATTTCGAATGACTAACACATCTAGGAAAGCTAAAGAATTATTTGCCTCTAACTCCATAGTAAATTGAATTTTAGAGTTTATGGAATTAAGATGTTCTAAAAATGCAGTTACTTTGTCTGATGGTAAAATTGTGAAAGTATCGTCTACGTACCGCTTGTAGAAACTTAGAGTTACTGGTGCAGTAAGCAGGGCTTTCTCCTCAAAGTCCTCCATGAAAATATCGGCGACAATGGGAGATACCGGTGAGCCCATCGCAACACCATCTACTTGCTTGTAAAACTGTTCCTTCCACAATAGGTAGCCAGATGTAAGGCAATGTCTGAGTAATACTGCATATTCTGCTGGCATGTTGTTTTCCTCTAGTTTCCTAGTTATAATTGAGATGCAGTCTTCAACAGGTAGGCATGTAAATAGAGACTGAACATCAAAACTGACCATAGTTTCATTGTCAGTAAGACATAGGTCTTTTATCTCACTGACAAAATGGTATGAATCCTTAGTGTGTGCTCTTGTATGTCCTCTGAGTGGTGATAGTACTTTTGCTAAGTGTTGAGCCAATCTGTAAGTTGGCGAATCGATCTGACTCACTATTGGACGTAATGGAGCGTTCGGTTTGTGTATTTTTGGTAACCCATACAACTTCGGCGGTTTGGCACACGTAGGTATTATCGAATTTACGTCTAGATTCAGTTTCTCGGAGTATTTCTTTATTAGATCGCTAGTTATTTTAAGCGTATTAGTTGTAGGATCTGTTTTGACCTTTACGTACGTACTTTCATCCGATAAAAGTTGTTGTATTTTAAAATTGTAATCCGACGTATCCATTATAACCGTAGCATTACCTTTATCTGCGCGGAGAATCGTAAGATCTGGTCTGTTGCGTAAGTTTTTTAATGCAGTAAATTCATCTTTGGGAAGATTTAATTTTGGCGCTGAGCTTCGACGTAACAAGGACGAAATGTCTTGACGTATAGCCTCTAAATCTTCTTTACCAATATTATTTTTATACAGACAGTCCTCAACACTACAGATAATGTTTTCATACGGAATTTTTCGCGGTGTTATAGCGAAATTCATACCTTTGGCCAAAACTTTTATCGTCGCGTCGTCTAGAGATTGTTTTGACAGGTTATAGACCGCACGTTGTTTATTACTCGCGTCTGTTGTCAATGATTGCGTTCCGTTATTATGTTGACATTGGCGTTGGACATTTGATTTGGTTGTTAGTTTTTGGTATTTATCTATATGTTTATTTTTGCATTCATCGTATTTAGTTGTTTCACGTTTGTCTAAAGTTTCCATGCAATTCTTATAATCAAATGTCGATAAAACTGTCTTTAGATCACTGGACGATTTTTTTTGCTTGCCTGATCTTAAATCAGGCAAGCAAAAAAATTGTTAATAACGGTGATTCAGCAAAAACGTACCGATCTATGTTTCATTAATAAAACCATAGACAAATCGTCCAGTGATCTAAAGACAGTTTTATCGACATTTGATTATAAGAATTGCATGGAAACTTTAGACAAACGTGAAACAACTAAATACAATGAATGCAAAAATAAACATATAGATAAATACCAAAAACTAACAACCAAATCAAATGTCCAACGCCAATGTCAACATAATAACGGAACGCAATCATTGACAACAGACGCGAGTAATAAACAACGTGCGGTCTATAACCTGTCAAAACAATCTCTAGACGACGCGACGATAAAAGTTTTGGCCAAAGGTATGAATTTCGCTATAACACCGCGAAAAATTCCGTATGAAAACATTATCTGTAGTGTTGAGGACTGTCTGTATAAAAATAATATTGGTAAAGAAGATTTAGAGGCTATACGTCAAGACATTTCGTCCTTGTTACGTCGAAGCTCAGCGCCAAAATTAAATCTTCCCAAAGATGAATTTACTGCATTAAAAAACTTACGCAACAGACCAGATCTTACGATTCTCCGCGCAGATAAAGGTAATGCTACGGTTATAATGGATACGTCGGATTACAATTTTAAAATACAACAACTTTTATCGGATGAAAGTACGTACGTAAAGGTCAAAACAGATCCTACAACTAATACGCTTAAAATAACTAGCGATCTAATAAAGAAATACTCCGAGAAACTGAATCTAGACGTAAATTCGATAATACCTACGTGTGCCAAACCGCCGAAGTTGTATGGGTTACCAAAAATACACAAACCGAACGCTCCATTACGTCCAATAGTGAGTCAGATCGATTCGCCAACTTACAGATTGGCTCAACACTTAGCAAAAGTACTATCACCACTCAGAGGACATACAAGAGCACACACTAAGGATTCATACCATTTTGTCAGTGAGATAAAAGACCTATGTCTTACTGACAATGAAACTATGGTCAGTTTTGATGTTCAGTCTCTATTTACATGCCTACCTGTTGAAGACTGCATCTCAATTATAACTAGGAAACTAGAGGAAAACAACATGCCAGCAGAATATGCAGTATTACTCAGACATTGCCTTACATCTGGCTACCTATTGTGGAAGGAACAGTTTTACAAGCAAGTAGATGGTGTTGCGATGGGCTCACCGGTATCTCCCATTGTCGCCGATATTTTCATGGAGGACTTTGAGGAGAAAGCCCTGCTTACTGCACCAGTAACTCCAAGTTTCTACAAGCGGTACGTAGACGATACTTTCACAATTTTACCATCAGACAAAGTAACTGCATTTTTAGAACATCTTAATTCCATAAACTCTAAAATTCAATTTACTATGGAGTTAGAGGCAAATAATTCTTTAGCTTTCCTAGATGTGTTAGTCATTCGAAATCCTAATAACACCGTAGGTCACACTGTGTATAGAAAAAAGACCCATACAAACCGATACTTAAACGGTGAATCCCACCATCATCCTTCACAGTTAGCTACCGTGGGCAAATCTTTGTTGCAGAGAACACGAGGGATCTGTGACAGCAAACACCTGGCCGCCGAGCTTCAGCACGTCAAGCAGGTTCTGCACGACAACAAGCTTCGGGTTCCGCGCCTACGTCACAGTGACCGAGTGAAGCCGGCCACAGTCGAGCGTGTGCCTGCTGTACTACCATATGTCAGAGGTGTCACAGACAAGATTGGCTACATCTTGAAGCGAGCTTCTATTAGAACATTCTTCAAGCCGCCGAAGAAGATTAGTCAGTTCTTACCATCCGTCAAGTGCAATATTCCTCTACAAGATGCAGGAGTATACAAGCTTGATTGTGAGTGTGGTCTCTCATATATAGGGCAAACAAAACGATCAATAAAAACCCGCGTAAAAGAACACATAGCTGACGTGAAGCACCAACGTTCCGGGAAGTCTGCAGTTTGTGATCATATCCTAGACGGCCCCCGTCATTACATTAGATTTGATAAACCACAAGTCCTCGCGAAAGAACATCGATTCCTGCCAAGGATGATACGTGAGGCTATTGAAATTAAAAAACATCCTAATTTCAATAGAGAGGGAGGCTGGGTACTACCACCTGCTTGGGATCCTGTAATTCATAAAATTAAAACTAAACCCAAGCATACCACTGTAAGACTTCAAGACACAGTTAGTTCATTCTGCGTAGATCGGACCAAAATTAATAATTAAAAAGCTGAAGGTACTCCGGGTTAACTTTGACATCGGGACGTCAATCACCTCAGTCCCCCGTGACCACGGTTGCTGGAAAGCAACCGAAACGTCGGGAATATAAAAATAAGTAAATTAAACGCGATAAAATCCGTAAAAATAGTTTTATTCAATGTGTAGTGTTCGCGTAAATATAAGAAATCATTATGTAAGAGCATCTGTAAATTCAGATGAGGAATCAGTATCAGGCTTAAGATGTTCTAAGTTTTTAAAATTTGTATTTAGCTTGAGCCTGAGGCTTTCTAGAATATCTGTAGACTTTTTATCTACAGCATCCAGACGTTGAATCCTATGAAATAGATGGTTAAGTAAGTTTTGAGTACGTTTATATAAATTTTTATCATATTTCACTGATAATGTTTTTAAATTCGTTTCTACTTTAATAAGGCTTTCGCGGATGCCCTCTACGTCTACAGAAAACTCAAACCCAGATTCAATAATATCATCCGAAGGCATCACATTGGCTAATTTGACTATCTGCCTGCGTAATTCTTGAACGTTTTCTCCGGGTGTGCCGCCTCTAATGGCCACCTCATAGCTTAGTTCGTTTTTTTGTAAGGACAAAAATTGAATTTCGTATGACATAATTTAAGAAGTCTAAGAAAATCCTTATACTAGGTTTATGTGAGCAGGTTTAAAATTCTATAATTATACAATAAAACTAATTTGTTTAAGTAAGAATCCTCCGTCCTGTTACAATTTTGGTAATAGTAATCCCCTAAGTTTTTTTTTTAAGGATGCTCGTAAAAATTACTACACGGGAAAGCAAAAAAATAAAGAGAAAAAAAATGCAACAATAGGGTGCAACTGTAGTATATATTTGCTTAAATAAAGCTTATTATTAAATATGTTAATAAAACCAAAATATTTTATTTTTGTACGTATACAAATTAGACACAATAAGGATACCACTAAAATTAAAACATTATATACACTGCAGTTGCAAAAGTATAAAAGGCAAAATAAAAGTCATAAAAAAAAAACAAAAGGTTTACAATATACACGCACACACCACTAAAATTCCTGATCCTGAATAACCGAGTTGAGGCGCCAATGTCACGTTATTATTTTATTTGATAATAAATAAATAATAACAACATTTTTTTTACAATGTTTAATAACACTACTTATAAAACTAGACTAATATAAGTACTTCTAAAGAGATATTTAATAACACTACTTGTAAAACTAGACTAATATAAGTACTTCTAAAGAGATATTTAATAACACTACTTGTAAAACTAGACTAATATAAGTACTTCTAAAGAGATATTTAATAATACTGCTTATAAAAAAAACTAATATAAATACTTCTAAGAAAATACTAAGTTGACTAATAATAAAAAAAACGCAAATAAAATAAAATTAACAGGTCGCGGGTTCGACGCATTTCAGGATCAGGAGAAAAAAGCAAGTACTTCCCTGGCACGACTGGCGGCGAGTCCGGCGGAAGTGGTTGGAGATATGTGTCCTTTATAGACCGATTTCGCTTGCGAATTCAATGTATATTTTATATATATATATATTTCATTTAATTCCAAATCCTCCCATCTTATCTCGTTTAGAAATAAAATAATAAGAAGGATGTCTCAGCCCCTGGCGAGGTTCCCTGGAACACACAGTCGAAATCTTTCATGAGCCTTGCCTCCAAAGTAGGTAATATTATACGCCCACCGCCAGAATCAACTAGGCGAGTAAAACTGATAAGTTTGGTGTGGCGGTACGTGCTACCAGAACGGAGGCAAGAAAATAAAGTTATATCAACTAAGCATCTACTATGAAAAGACATACATAATTACGTGGTAAAATAACTAGCATGTGACATAAAATTAAATTACACACTAAGTATCAATTGTCTAAACTTCAAAATCAAAGTAACATAATATTTGTTACACTATTGTAATACATATATTATAAATTTGCTCACACTTACCCAATATAAGGGGAACAACCGTTAATATTTAATAATTATTAACAAACCTATAAAAAGCTATTAGCTATAATTTGCATAACGTATGCGTTTTGAATTATTTAATATAGATGCAGAAATGCATTTAGGCGACTGGACCTTCACGGTCACACTGAGGTCACTCGTCAGCCGCGCGGACTATTCATGCACCCCCACTTGTCTTCGCGCGAATTAGATGACACATTACACTCCTCACTCATAAACACGTCCTCAAAGTGTTCCTACCATCTCTTTAAACTCGAAACTTCGTCATTCAATATACAGCCATTCTGGTCTCGTATAGCATTAATTCTAGGCTGTTTTAAATTTCCCCTGGCAGTTATTACGAGTTTCCAGAAAATTTAAATATTTGCCTGGAAGTTATGCGATATTCTTCTATCATTCTTATCCGTACTTTCTTGCTTTTTCCTTTCAACTATTTCTTTTACTCTCTTATTTAGGCGTCTAAAACTGCCTTTTTTCTTTCGATATCATTATTCATACCGCCAGAATTACAGGCCTTGGTTGTTAGTAAATCTAGCCATGCTTTCTTCTTTGCTTCAACTTCCATCCGTACCTTATCACCCACCACAACGTATTATTTTTCCTTTCATTCTTTTTCTTACTTACACCACATACTTCAGTAGCTGCATCCAAACCTTTCTTAACATTATGCCACACTACCTCTAAGTCTAAATCATTCATACACAATTTAACCAAACCACTTATATTTTCCCCAGTCTACATTTGTACTTCTCTTTCACACTTTCATCTTGTAACCTCTCTGTTCTTAACGCAGAACGCTGTAACGCAGTGGTAAACGCAGATGTCCGATGCCGCCACCGTCTGAATAGATAATTAATTCGGCATAAGACCATGTAATTATCCGTCCCTACGTTGCACCCCCGGTAAACCCTTGTATCTACTACTGCGCTCCTCATTCTTTCATCCACAATTATAAACTTCTATCATCACCTCTTTCCCATGTATATATGTGAATCCTCTTTTGACGAAAGAAAGTGTTCGTCACAAAAATATTATTTTTCACTTATACGGTGAGGAGGCTTTCACCATTCTCATTTATACTTTCATCACTAAACGTTCCCAATATCCTTTCATATCCAAACCTCTTCACTTCACCCCAACCCTTCCATTAAAATCTCCTGCTTCACTATCATGTTTAATACAATTGCACTCTTTATGAGAGTGTAGGAAATTATGCTAATTATAACATAATTTATAAATTATTATAGTCAGTTAACAACTTAGTTATCATTCTTTTAAACTTTATAGACGACAGAGCAATAACATCAAATTCTGTGAATTGTGTGTTATAATTAACTGAGAGGCGACGTACCCGCGCTCCAGCGTTTGTTTTACAACTCGTGGTGTGCTCGCACTGCGCTCCGAATTACAGTTCTCAGTACAATATAATATAATTTATTTGTGATCTAACTACAGTCAAACCTGTTATTACTTATTAGCTTACACACAACCCATGCAACATCATGGCCATAATAAGCGAGCGTCTAGATTCCAAACTTGGTAATGTATAGTGTTTTAATAATTGGACGTATGATGTTCTGTAATGGTAACGCTTATAATAGATATTGCGTGAAAATTTCTTTTAAACCATTTCCAATTTGCAATTATATTTCTTGTACAAGGGACTCCAGATTGGTACAGAGTTTTGTATAGAATTATGAAAGTAGATGATCGTTTAAAGTCTTTAGAGGATCTCATGATAAAACCATAATGTTGAAAGGCTTTATTGATTATGTAATAGGTATGGTAATCTACATGTAATTTCGAATCCAGCATTAAACCAAGGTCTCTATGTAAATTTTTTGTAAGGGTATGCGATTGATACAATAAAATAAATAGGTTTTTGTTCTTTGTAAAAGATATCACATTACACTTGGGCAGACTTATGTAAAACTTATTATCTAAACAGCATTAAGAAAGTCTGTCAAGATCTTTTTGAAGAAATGAGAAGTCGTGAATGTTTTGACATTTTGATAAATTTTTATATCATCAGCGTACATTAAAAATTGAGAGTTGTTGAAACAGACCTTGACGTCATTTATGAATAGAATAAAGAGCAGGGGGCCCAAATCGACCCTTACAGTACACCGGACGTGACAACAATAGAGTTAGATTCGAAATCACTTATAATAACCTTCTGAATTCTGTTGAAAATATAAGATGTGTACCAAAGCAATAAATTACGGTGAATTTTCCTAAATGAAATTTTATCCATATGTAATTTATGATCCACGTTGTCAAAAGCCTTTTGAAAGTCAGTGTATACAACATAAGTTTGAACTATGTTAACCATTTGTTCGAAAAAAAATTGTAAATGTTAATAGTTTAGTAGTAGTGAAACGGCGTTGGCCAAACCAAGAGTTTTTGGAACGAAGTTCTTTATCGGACAGTATGAGTTTGGCCGATGGGGTAGTGTAGACGGCCTTGGCGGCTATAAGGAAGCGAGATGGAATAATATCCACCCCCCGCACTTTTTCTTATCTTGCCATGAAAGAAATATTATTTTATTTTAAATGACGCTTCATTTTAATAGAATATAGTACGTTTATCAATAATAATATATTAGAAGCGTCAGTAACCTAATGGCAGTGCGCGGACCGCGAACTGGAAAGGTCATGGGTTCGAATCCGCCATTCGAGTACTGTCGTGAACCACTACTAACACTAGCATTTTAAGCCTACCAGAAGTGGTTTAAGGGAGTATTAGTAATGTTTAATAGTATTAATAGTACTTAAAAAAATACTACGAAAGGTACTTCGTTCCAACCGAGTGTTCCACGACACTCACGCATGTTTTTTAGTGTTGATTTATTTCTTAAATTTAAATTCTAAATATATGATTATATGGCTAAAAATACCGCTAGGCAACCATCCTCATAAATTGCTTTAAAACTTGACATCCACATAATAATTGTCCTAATATATTATTATTATAATTGTTGTGTTGATATATTCATATCTACTAACCCGCCCCGGCTATGCCTGGGTAGGTTAAACTAAGGATGAGTTTTGAGCGTAGGCTAATGTAAAATATTTTCTCATGCTTAGCCGTCTAAATATTAGCTTAACCGCAACAAATCCGATAAATATAGAAGTAAATGCTAATGAAAAAAAGAAGTTACATACTTTGAATTATTTATTGTATTTAAGAAACCATAATTAAAACTACACAATACTATACTAGATAATGAGAAACTTAGGTGTATTCAATTTATTCATGACCAAACTAGGTGTAGGTGGGTTCCAGTAGGTGTTATGGCATGCCTTGTGCCACCCTAAAAATATTGCAAATGAACATAATGTCTAAAATAAGCCTACGGACAATACTAAACCTAAGTTTAGGTGTTTATTTTTACTAAGATTATCGGATATAGTACCAACAAATTTCAAAATGTTTATCTTATGCACTTTTTACAGGAAATGGCTAACGAAAATCAGAAAAATTGTATTATCACGAGGATCAATCACTCTTTTTGTCTTTTATGTGATGAATGTCTAAAAGAAAATGAAACAATTCAATTGCATAACGAATGTAATTCCCACAAAAGGAATTTGGAATTAAATACACCCTTGGAAAAATATAAAGATGACTGTATCCGTCAGGTAAGTAACATTGACGTTGGTTGGTGATCTCATTATGTTTTACTGTCCTACTCATCCCATTATGCACATACTATAGACAGACAGTAGTAAAGAAAAAAAATAACTTTTGTTCACGTTAACTTTTAATGATCAAAATTTTCTCTATGCACTAGCTATTCTTGTATATTCTCTTCGCTTCCTTGGTCTTTAGGTGACGAGCCGACCCAGATATGTGTAGGCTACCTACTCGTCTACAGGCTTTACACCCACCTTTATTGTTATACTCTTTTTGAATTCGCTAGTAGCTCATGTGTTATTAGTTTTGTTTTTGTTGCAATCATCGTTAGTTATTTTACACTTTCTTCGCTCAAACATTGGATCATATCTTCAAGATTATTTGGGTTCCTCAATGAGAATTAGGTCCTCCGCAATTCTAAGATAATTTAATTTTTGTCACATTAACAATTTAACACTTACACACATAAAAAAGTTACTCACTAATTGAGAACATATTTTATTACGTTCACAATATTGTAAAAACAAATACGTTATTGAATGAGATCTTCAGCTAAGCTCAACAAAGATTACAATACTCTGCACAACCATCAAGCGAGTTTTTCGATATGCGTGCTCACAATTGCTCTAGTGGGACTTCTCACTGTAATTGCCCAAAATTACAAAGAACCCGTTTGCAAAGTACCCCCAAATGGATAAAGTTACTAAGAGACGGCCCCCAGTCCCTGGCGGCCCCGCTATTCCTGGCTACGGTGGCGACCATGGTAACGGCGGGGCAGGGGGTGCTAAGAATCTCCGGTGGAGGGTCGGTTGCCACCTACGACGACTTGACCTGGCAACATACAACGCATGCACCCTGAGGACTAACGAGAAGATCGTGGAGCTGGAAGAAGAGATAGACAAGTTACGCTGGCATATTATAGGATTATCCGAAGTCCGAAGAGAGGGGGAGGAAACGGTAATCCTCGAATACGGCAACTTGCTCTATTACCGGGAGGGCGACCATCTGTCCCAAGGAGGTGTCGGATTTATCGTCCACAAGTCTCTCGTTAACAACGTTGTAAAGATTGAGAGTGTGTCGACGAGGGTTGCGTACCTTATACTCAGAATCACCAAACGGTATTCGCTGAAGGTCATACAGGTTTACGCACCAACCGCGGCACACCCCGATGAGGAGGTGGAGGAAATGTATGAGGATATCTCTAGAGCCATGCATTCCTCCAAAACCCAATATACGGTGTTAATGGGAGACTTCGATGCAAAACTAGGCACAAGAGAGAATGGTGAGCTGAAAGTAGGGAAATTTGGAATAGGGCAACGGAACCCAAGGGGCCAGCAGCTGGCCGACTTCATGGAAAAAGAGGGACTCTTTATGATGAACTCTTTCTTCCAGAAGCGGCCCCACAGGAAGTGGACCTGGTCGAGCCCCGACGGTTCGACAAAAAATGAGATTGACTTCATTATGACGACCAGACGACAACTGTTCAGTGATGTCTCAGTGATCGCGAGGGTGAAAACCGGCAGCGATCACCGAATGGTTAGAGGCACACTGAACCTAAACGTTAAATTGGAGAGGTCTCGTCTAATGAAGTCAACGCTCCGTCCCCCTCGTGCTCTAATCCAAAGTCCCGAAACCTTTCAGCTTGAGTTACAAATCCGTTTTCAGTGCCTAGAAGACTGCAATGAAGTGGACGATATGAATGACAAGCTCGTGGAAACTGTCCATGCAGTCGGAGCTAAGTTCTGCAAGACCCGCCGCAGAAGAACACAAAAACTCTCCGATCACACTCTTAATTTCATGGCTATTAGACGAGAGATGAAGCTACATTCTTCAACAGATTTGACAGCATACAGGCAAGTGAACAGACAGATCTCCAAATGCATGCGGTGGGACTTACACAACTTCAATACAGCTCGTATTGAAGAAGCGATCGAGCGGAACCAAGGCTCCAAAGTCTTTGCCAGAGATCTGTCTGCCAGAAAGAGCCAACTGTCAAAGCTGAAGACAGAGTGTGGCAGCATCGTTTCCGGGGCACCTGAGATTTTGAGTGAGATTGAGAGGTTTTATGGGCAGCTGTACACGTCATCATTGGAGCCACACGCGAGTGTGAGGAACGATCCAAGAGCGAGTCTTATCCGACATTATTCCGATGATATCCCGGACATCGGTCTGAGCGAGATTAAAATGGCTCTCCAGTACCTTAAAAACGGCAAGGCCCCAGGTGATAATGGAATTACAGCGGAGCTTCTGAAAGCGGGTGGAAAACCGGTACTTGAAGTCCTTCAGAAGCTCTTTAATTCCGTCCTCCATGGTGGCATTACACCGTAGGCGTGGAGCAGAAGTGCGGTGGTCTTGTTCTTCAAGAAAGGCGACAACGCTCTCTTGAAGAACTACAGACCGATTTCCCTTCTGAGCCGCGTCTACGTGCTCTTTTCGAGAGTCATTACGAATCGTCTCGCGCGCAGACTTGACGACTTCCAGCCTCCCGAACAAGCCGGTTTCCGATAAGGCTTTAGCACCATAGACCACATACATACCCTTCGGCAAATTGTACAAAAGTCAGAGGAGTACAATTCGCCACTATGTCTGGCGTATGTGGACTATGAGAAAGCCTTTGACTCCGTCGAAATTTGGGCGGTGCTGGAGTCCCTTCAGCGGTGCCAAGTGGACTGTCGGTATATCGAAGTGCTGAAGTGCTTGTACAGTAGGGCTACGATGGCTATCCGAGTACAGAACCAGAGTACGAAACCTATCCAATTGCAAAGAGGTGTAAGACAGGGTGACGTCATATCCCCGAAACTCTTCACCGCTGCATTGGAAGATGTTTTCAAGCTTCTGGACTTGAAAAAGATACGGTATCAACATCAATGGCGAGTACATCACTCACCTTCGATTTGCCGACGATATAGTCCTTATGGCAGAATCGCTGGAGGACCTAAGCACTATGCTCAATGACCTCAATAGTGTTTCCCAACGGATAGGTCTTAAGATGAACATGGACAAAACAAAGATCATGTTTAATGTCCATGTCACACCTATGCCGGTAGTTGTTGGGAGCACTAAGCTCGAAGTTGTTGACGAGTATGTTTACCTAGGACAAATAGTCCGACTAGGAAGTCCAACTTCGACCGAGAGGTCAATCGACGGATTCAACTCGGTTGGGCAGCGTTCGGGAAATTACGGCACATCTTCTCGTCAGGTATACCTCAAAACTTGAAAACGAGACTGTAGAACCAGTGCGTGTTGCCAGTGATGGCATACGGAACTGAGACGTGGTCCTTCACTGCTGGCCGAATGAGGAAACTCAAGGTCGCTCAGCGAGCTATGGAGACGGCTATGCTCGGAGTTTCTCTGCGTGATAAACTCAGAAATGAGGATATCCGCAGTAGAACCAAAGTGACCGACATAGCCCAACGGATTAGTAAGCTGAAGTGGCAATGGGCCGGCTATATAGCTCGAAGAACCGACAACCGATGGGGAAGAAAAGTTCTCGAGTGGCAGCCTCGTACCGGCAGGCGAAGTGTTGGGCGTCCCCCCACTAGATGGTGTGACGACCTGGTAAGATATGCAGGAAGTCGATGGATGCAGGTGGCTCAGGACCGTGCTTTGTGGCATTCCTTGGGGGAGGCCTATGTTCAGCAGTGCACTTGTGAAAGGCTGTAATGATGATGATGATGATGAAAGTCTGTGCCAAGCTGACTTTTTATCATTTGTAGCTTGCGTCTCCTGTTAAGTGGTATTATTTTGCAGTAATAGATCGAATTAAAGTTGAGGATTGGGATATTCCCAAGTCTTTTTCCAAGTAGTGTAAGTGGAAATACCACAAACTCGGAGATGACATACCCATAACTCAATATTAATTTTCATTTTTCTTAATTCTTGTTTGTACCCGATTTTTTAAATATTATTTTTTTCAACAAAATCTCTGTCTGTTCTTAGTTACATCTCATACAACTAGTTTTTCTACACCAATACATCATAGGTTAAGGTCTTGATATCATGATTGCTATATTCTTTTGACTTATGTTGCCAAGCGACTAGAAAAGATTTTTGCAAATCTATAAATTATTAGAAATTCTGTAAAAAAACTATTATGTATATTATACAGATTGTTTGGTAATTAATAAGAAACATTTTCTCGATCAGGTCTTTTATGCAAATTATATTTGAATATAGTTCTGACGTGTTATAATTAAATTCAAATTTTTGGATCTATAGAAATTTAAGATCGATAAAAACGCTTTCAATTTGCAATTAAACACCCAATAAATAACATTTTCAGGTAAAGAAAGGATTTTATTGTGTATCTTGTGACATTTTGTTCGCAACAAAACAAGCAATAAACCGGCATGTGAATGAAGTGACTCATATAAACAATAAAGGACTGCTGCTGCTGAAGAAGGTTGAAAATGGGGTGGTTGCATTCAATACTATATTTATAGAAGATAAAGCTTGGCATGGTCTAATTGACAACACTTGCATCATTTGCAACATTGATATTCCAGATGAAAACAGTCACAAAAATAATTCTTCACATATTTTCAATTTAATTCAAAATAAACCGGAGTTTAATGAAAACCATGAAATTTTTCGTAAGGTAAGGAAGATGACATAAATTATATTATAAATACAGATATATATTCCACTACGATACAAATGAAACAATGAATGAAAATGAGTGCATGCAGAAGAAGAAAACTAGCCCAAGGGCTGATCCGTTGAACTGTAGTACTGAACGGACAATGAATCAGCCATATTGCTGTGTGCGTGCGTGCGTGCTTGCGCGCTCGCGCGCGCGCGCGCGTGTGTGTGTGTGTGTGTGTGTGTGTGTGTGTGTACGCGCGCGCGCGTGTGTGTGTGTGTGTGTGTGTGTGTGTGTGTGTGCGTGTGTGCGTGTGTGCGTGAGTGCGTGTGTGCGTGTGTGCGTGTGTGCGTGTGTGCGTGTGCGTGTGCGTGCGCGCGCGCGTGTGTGTGTGTGTGTGTGTGTGTGTGTGTGTGGGTGTATTTTTCGCAACCTTTTTTCAGCTTTTATTTATATAATGGTTTTCTTTTTTCATTTTATTTTAGGTGGACGTTCAATTTTATAACTGCCTAGTATGTAATTCACTAGTCAGTAAGGACACATTATCCAAGCATTTCAAAACAGACTTCCATATCGAAAAATACACGAAATGCAAGGAATTATATAGCCAATTGAAAACCAGTAATCCAAAAAATCTCAGTAAAAATGATGTCATTGATAATAAAAAAAATACTCCAACCACTGTACGAGATACATTATTAAAGCATAAAATTGAGCTTAATGCAAATGATAAAGGCACGCTAAAAAATGAGGAAAGTGATAATAAAGAGATTATTAAAACAACAATAAATAAAGAGGAAACTGATCCCATTTACCTATATAATGAATCAAAAAAAGACAATGCAAAAGACTCATTATCAAACAAAATTGAAGAAAATCATAAAAATATATCTACCAAGGTAGAGGACGAAAGTATTGAGCAAGAACCAAGTCAATCTAAACTTCATGAACCTCGTGAAGCAATAAAAATTGCATATAAATTTGCAAAAGAAAATGGATTGAAATATAGTCATGGAAAGAGAAATGCTTACTGTAATGCTTGTGATGAAAGAATTTCATCATCCTTCAAAAAGATGGAGGATCATGTTTCAAATGCAGTGCACAAAGAAAAATTTTTAAAATCGCAGCAGAGAACCGTAACCATACCACTGAATGAATTTATAAAAACTGAAATTCTAATTGTAACTGATTTTGATGCAAATTTTGTAATATTAAACAAAAGATTTTGCATATTCTTTTCAAGTTTTCACATGATTACTCACAACGAAAATACAGTAAGATGTCAACTGTGCGAGACAAATATTGTGCTTTCATTAGAATTACACGCGGACACTCAACATCACAGAACATTATTGAACAAAACTGAAGTAATTGTTAGTTGGAAAAACGAATTTATAAGAAAGGTGATTATTTTTAATATAATTCATATATCTATGACAAATTTTATTTCTGTGCTTGTATGCCGGATTCGAATCCCGCCAGCACCAATGAAAGTGCTGATTGCAATTTTAAGTTCTGATTTACCACATATTATCAATTTAACGTATTTTTTTTAAATATAATGCGAGTATTTAGTTCCAAAATGTTTTGGAAGTAATATGTAAGTATAATATGTCATAGAAATGTATAATTTCAGATTCGCGACGGTATCTATCACTGTGGATTTTGCAATACAATCGCGTCAACGTCGGAAGAGTTGCAAAGCCATCTAATGGCAATATCTCACGAAGAAACTAAAAAGCCTGCTTTTACACTTTTAAATAAATTTCTGATTGAAATAGAAAATGATAGAAGAAAAAGAGACATGTTAGCTATGATGTTACTACATACCATGTTATTACGATGAAATTCTAGTTAACGAGTTAACTATAAAAAAGTAGTTAAAGTATTTTTTTCGATTTTTAAGCGATTAGCTAATTCATATCAGTGTAATGTAGTGTAGGTAGGTAGTAGTAGGTATGCACATATTATCTTTCATCGTATTTTCAAAAGTGTATGTAACGAAACAATCTGAAAATATTACGAGTCTAGATAATAAAGTATGACTTCATCATCACCATTACAGGCGTCCACAAAGTCACTGTTAAAAAACATAGGCTTTCTTTAAGGAATACTACATACGGCCCTAAACCACCTGAACCCATTGACATAACATAATCGCCTGATCGACATAATCAAGTCAATCTTATTTCTTGTCGAACCGCCGGGGCTGGACCTAGTTCGTCTTTCTGTAAAGACGCTTCTAGAATTCATCAAGTAGCCTTTCCTCCATAAAAACGGCTGTTGACCCGTTTAGGTTTTGTTAATTTATTCCAACTTTCCCTTCCTTCAGCTCATCGTATCACAACACACTATAGTGGTTTTAGAGGAATGTTGGCTCTAGAATGGCCTCATAAATCGTCTTTGTTTCAAGAATAAGTTTGGTGATTCTAAGCAATCGGTACTGTTGTCGAAACGCTCCCTGTTAATGAGAGCCTTGTAGATAATAAAACCGACCCGTCCCTGGTACAGATGGTCGCCCTCCTGGTGACTGAATAAGTTGCTGGATTCGAGAATCACCATATTCTTTTCCTGCCTTCGGACCACATTACAAATATTCCAGCAAAAATCTATTTCTCTCGTCAGAGCATTAATATATTCCTTGATCTATATTCTAGTTGTGGGCCGTTTGTATCGTTGCCCAGGGGAGGATGATTGCCATAGTTAGCAGGAAGTTTAGAGACAGCAGTTTTTTATTGAGATTATTTGATCAAGAAGATGCTACTGTCAATCTCCTGGCTTATGGCTTAGTTTACGCATGTCGCATAAAGATATAGATTGATGAAGGTTTATTATTATTAGATGTAAGTTTTATAATTTAATCTTAGGGTTATTATATAAGATAGGAAATAGTATTGTTATGTTGTTTTGTTCCTTTTTCTAAATATTGTAGGTCAGTAAATTGGTACCTAAATGAAAGAAAACGAAAAAAATGATTAGAACGAAAAATTTGTTATAATATACACAGAATAGTATAAAAAATATTATTGTTAATAAATGTAATTATGACAAATTAAGTGTTTTATTTTAGACATACTACAAAAAAAAAAGGAGAAGATCTCAAACTTATTATATTTAAAGCTTCTATTTATTTTTATATCTTTGGAAGTATTACAATTGGACTGTATGTCCTTTTATTGTATATGATACGCGATATTTTCGTCAACTGTGAACCGATTTTGATGATTCTTTTTTTTAAATAGGTTATACTTCAGGGGTGGTCGTAAATAAATCAGGAAAAAAATCCACCCCTAAAGGTAGCAATATAGGGAATAAAGTTCATAATTTAACCGTTTGACAAAATTAAGATAGTTATATTTATTAATCTACTCAATAGAATTAAAAAAAAATAGCTTTTAATAAAAAGTAACAGTCGACTTCAAATTCAAAGAATTAAAACGAATAAGTAGAATAATTACGCATTCTGAAGTCAAGGCTTTAATTCTCCTATACACGGTGGCTTAACATCGTTTTTATTAGAAGTTGATTTCTGTCTTCCCCACGAACACGAAGTGTTTATTCCTTGTTTTACCATATGAATAACTATCATTCTGAATGTGGAAGGCAATACGAACTTATAATATAGGTACTATTATTTTTCGTTAATTGGGATATATTGATTGATCAGACCTTAACATTTAGACCCCACTTTGAGGTTTTAGTATCCCGACTGCGAAAGCTCATATATATATTCAGAAACTTAAAACATATAGCTGAACGCCGTGTTATATTGGTAGTTTACTTCGCTTTATGTCAATCCATAATTGAATATTGTATAACATCATGGGGAGGAGGAGCCAAAACATACCTCATTGAAGTAGAGAGAGCACAACGTGCAATTCTTAAAGCAGGTGCTGGTCTTCCATTCCGTTTTCATACAGACGAGCTGTATAAAAAATGGGATGTACTAACGGTTAGACAAACTTTCATTCTGCATATTGTGCTTAAACAACACTCTCATCTACCTTATAACCCAGATCTTTTTAAGTATAAACGCCGCAAAGATATAATATGCAAAACTCTAACTTTCAACTCAGCTCTTTCACATAAGTTTTTCTGTTTCTTGGGACCCTTTCTATATAACAAACTAAATAAAATTTTAGACATATATCCAAAAAATAAATTTAGTTGTAAAATAACATTAAGAAAATCCTAAAAACCCTTAACTACCAAGAAACTGAGAATCTTCTTTTAACCCAATACTAATACTTTTAATTTACTCAGAAACGTGAATCACTCTTATCACAATCCCTAAAAACCTCTAATAATGATACTCCAGGATTTGCTTCTGTACAATCATAAAAACACACACACACACACACACACACACACACACACACATACAAACACACACGCGCGCGTTTCATATACTCACCTATACACGTCCATATCCATTGAATGGATTCAGCAATTCGCCTTATAATGTAACTTTTTATCTCTTTTATGATATAATTCCTCTCTGTATTATTTCTTTCTTTGTATTATATGTAACCTATCCGCGAGGGGGGGCTGGTGACCTGTAACCCAGGTTTTTAATTTAAAACCTATAATAGGCACCAGTCTCTCACAACGCTAGGTCCTTACTATGTACATCGATATTGTTAACCAGGCAGTAGTTGTGAAGAGATAAATAAATAAATATATCTATGTTTTCGTTGCTTTAAAATAGACATTGTAACTTAGATTATTAATAGGTCATCGCGCGCTCTGACTGGATACCGCGCTACCTGAAAGTAACAGCTCCGCGAATGCGGCATCTCATAATTGTAGTGTGTATAAGACAATTGCAAGGATGCTGGTGTGCGTGAAAAATTGTATATGCCAGCAGCTTAACTATTACTCGATTAACGGGAAAATTTATGTTATGCTATGGCTTAGTAGTTAAGTTTATAGTTATGAATGTAGACCAGAAATAGTTAAAAATGAATAATTTATTAATAGCGAATGTATCAATATATTTGTGTATATTATGTATAGGTTTTTCTTCGGAATAAATGGCATATAAATGATAAGACCTCATTTTATCAGTTTAATTTTTATATTTAAAGGTCTGACTAATATTCACAAATTATTTAAAAAATAGTTATATAATATTATGGTGTAACCAAAATAGTGCTATTTCTATTCTACGCGTCAATATGAACAACTTTTACTATAGATCTATCTTCGAAGTCGCAAGGAAAAATCAGGTCTTCCATACATTTTGAACAAGTTTGTACGAAATTCTGTATGGAATAACTGATTTTGAGATTTTTTTACAGGATCAGGGTGACAAACGAGCACACAGTCCATCTGATGGTAAGTGGTTGCTGTGGCTCATAGACATCTACATCTATGTTCGGTTAGGAATCAAAATGCCGATGCGTTGCAACGCCTGAGGACTAAGATTGAATGCCTCGTTTCCAGTAAAAAGGGTCTCCGGTTCTCTACACTCACCATACGAAACACAGCAGCGTTAAGCTGCTATTTTACTCTGGTATTCTGTGAGAGCGTGGTCCTTCCCCGGTCTACCCATTCATGCTACAACTGTACCAGTAATATAGCTGCAGTATCACCACGTATAAATTGAAAATTTCGAAGATGATCCCATAATAAAAATTATTCATGTTGACGGGCAGAATCATTCCCTAAGTTATTGAGTACTATTTTGTTACACTTTTACTTAGTATATAAGGTCGGGGAAAAAGTTGCTTCGTATTTTATATACAAATTCAAGACATTTTTGTTTTAAAGTTTTATTACTATTAATTATAATATAATATATGGGTCCATTTTGTTCGATAACTTATTGCGATCTTGTAGGTAGTGACATAATCGCGTTGCTGTAGAAATCTTGGGATTTTTGATCAAAAAAAATGCGACAAGTACTTTTATTAGATATATTCAATACCAGAGATTTGAAGGAACATGGATTTAGTCATATTCTTAATTATTTAGAAAATGCGAAACAATATATTATTATAAACTGAAATGGTAAAACCTCCTGAAAGCTTTCTTTTAAAGAACACAAGCAACAAAAAAATAATTATTAAAAGTTTTAAACCAGTTTTCACTACTCAAGCAAATACTGGATTTTTAGGAATGTTAGTGTGTATTGAAAGTCTCAAACAGATAACTAATCTTGTGGTCTGGCGTTATCATGGTGAAAGAGCACTCCTTTTCTGATGATCAATGCCGGCCGTTCTTTTTCTATTTCTTGCTTGAGTCTCATTATTTATTGGCAGTAGAGATCAGAATCGATGGTTTCACCAGGCAGTAAAAGCTCACGATAAACGATACGCTTCCAATCCCACCATATACACACAGCATCACCTTATTGCGTGTTAATCCAGGTTTCGCTACAGTCTGTAAACAAAACACATATCAATACAGAAAAAAATCATGTTTCTTCTATGGCTTTCATACAAGAAACGTGATTTAGGGATCCTTTAATATTTTATTTTATTTTTATTATATGTTGTTATAGCAGCAATTCAATTAGCCAATACACATTCTGTGAAAATTTCAAGCATCTACATATTATGGTTCATTAAAATACAGCCTGCTGACAGACAAACGGAACGATAGTGGAAACTTAGGTCCCATTGACACTCTTTGGGTACGGAACCCAAATAAACGGAAATAATGTTTTAATAATAAAAATAACAATTAATAAAACAAAATATAAATATAAGGCCATTTGAGCAATACTACAAAAATAAACATTAAATACATATACATACATAATACATAAACACTCACGCCTGTCACCCAGAGGGGTAGGCAGAGACTACGGACTTCCATTTGGCGCGATCCTGACACACCTCT